GAATAGCTGGGCTGTACTGCTCGAGGCGGGGGGGGCGTCGGCTGCCTCCGCGGGCGTTACCGCCGGCGTGGCTTTGGGGGCCGTGACGGCGTCGGCGGGCATGGCGGCCTTGGCGGCTTCGGCGGGCACAGCGGGCTTGGCGGCGGGTGTGGGTGTACGAGTGGCCTTGGCGGCGGGCTTGGCGGCGGCAGGCTTGGCGGCGGCAGGCTTGGCGGCGGCAGGCTTGGCGGCGGCAGGCTTTGCAGTAGGCTTGGCAGCAGGCTTGGCAGCAGGCTTGGCAGCAGCAGGCTTGGCAGCAGGCTTGGCAGCAGGCTTGGCAGCAGGCTTGGTAGCAGGCTTGGCAGCGGCTGAGCGGGCCTTCTTAGTAGGGGCCGGAGGCGCGGATGCAGGAGGTGGACGCTGGTTCTCCTCTGCTTTCCGCTTGGATCGCGTGACAGGCATGGTAGAGGATGGTGGTGGTGGGCGTGGTGGGCGTGGTGGGGGTGGGTGGTTGCGGTACGCGGGGTGTGATGAAGATGAAGAGATGCGGTTGCAAGGGAAAGGGGGGTTTTGGTTGTACAGCGGGCAGCAGCCGTTTCATTTCTATACGGGACTGCTCGCGCAACGCACTACGTGTAGCCTATCTGTATCAACAGCACGAGTCTCGCCGGATCTCATCTCCTCGAGTGACGTGTGCCATGCAGTCTGCCACGTGTACCTGCTTCCAAAACACGTGGCCACGTGTGTCTGTTGCAAGCGTGGACACGTGTGCCCTGTTGCTGTTGTTGTCACATCGGAGATGCTTCGCATGACAAAGCCCTTCCGCTTTGTCATACATATCCCCACCGCCCAATCACAGCCATTCAATGAGGCCACGCCGTGTCCCGCATATTGGTCGCGCCCCCTTCGCTGCCACAATTCCATTGCCCCCTCCTGCCCTGCCCTTCTTCCCCCGTCTTCTCCTTCGCTACTGCAAGTCTCTACTTCCCTTCACCCCTCCTCCTTCGCTACACTTACTAGGATACGCGCCAACCACTCTTCGGGCGTCTCAGCCGGCATCCAACCATCTTCCAGTATCTTTTTACTATGTTCGTCAAAGACGAAACTACAAAGACCTCATCGCTGCACTGGCTACGCGGACGAAACCATGGGATCACTTGACTGC